ACTTTCCAACAAGTTAGAGGGGTGGTTACAGCCATATTAGTGCACTTGCAACAAAAACAACTGAGAATGTTCATACGTTTTTATATGCACTGACATCCAAACCAAGCTTTTGGGGTGTTCCCCCCTTGGTCCAAACAGCACTAATACACATAGTTTAAAGTGGTAGTAAAGGTGAGAAAACACAAACCTTGCAAGGCACAGCGCTCTAGTGTGCATCGCATACTAACACATTATGAAAAACGTACCTTGAAATGAAGCCTTCCAGCGGCGTGCTGTCACCACTGACAGGGCTTCCATCTTCATCCCGTCTTCATTCCAGGTTCGCGGGCTGCGTCCGCTTGAACAGCGAGCCACAATGACGTCACTCCTGTGCATGCAGGCGGGAGTCACGTCCGCAGCACAGAGCTCTGAATGAATGGCACGGGTATGCGGTTCCTTCAGAGCGCATGTGCCGATGACATCACCGGCTGCTGCTCACACTAGAATATCTCCTAAATGGTGCATATTTAGGAGATATTCATTTAATCTAGGAGGTAAGATTATAAGCTTACTTGAAAGTTAAAAAAAAAGTAAAGTGGTTGTAAAGGCTGAAGGTTTTTTTCCTTCATGCATTCTATGCATGAAGGTAAAAAATCCTTCTGTGTGCAGCAGCTCCCCCGTCCCTTCAATACTTACCAGAACCCCATCGCGATCCCTCAATGTGAATGACAGCCTTGGCTGTCCCAGGCCTCTGCTTCCTCATTGGCTGAGACAGCAAGCAGGAGCCATTGGCTCTCACTACTGTCAATCACAGCCAGTCAACCAATGAGGGGAGAGAGGGGGCGGGTCCTAGACATGGCTCTGTGTGTGAATGGACACATGGAGCAGCAAGTGCCTCCATAGCAAGCTGCTTGCTATGGGGGCACCCGTCAGACAGGAGAGCCTGTGGAAGACCCAAGAAGAGGAGGATCTAGGCTGCTCTGTGAAAAACTACTGTACACAGCAGGTAAGTATAGACATGTTTATTATTTTACAAAAAAAAAAAAGAACCTTTAGAATCCCTTTCAGCCAATGTTAAACTAGAATGATAGGCAAAACTTTTTTTTTTCATTTTGGATAGATCAAGGTAGGGTTATAGTGGTGTGACCCTCCTGCGCTCCAAATGTGTATTTAAAAATAATAAATCAAATGAATAAGTGTATAAATCCCAAAGGAGCTGCTAGCATTAAATCATATACCAGTGATCAAGTGAATATAAAACATAAGGAATGCTGCGCTACATTCAAATCAAACAAATTGTGAATGTGGGATCCCAAAATATCAAATCAAAAAGTGTGACAATATTAACAATATTGACAATGCAAATATATACGTGCTTGCTGATAATAACAAAAATCAAATAAATCACTCAAAAGATGTAGAAACACAAAAAACTATATCTATATGTATGTGCATGAACAAAAAAAATATATACCCATACATATAATTAAATCACACGTGCCTATTGTGAAGTGAAAAAATAACCATAATAATGGTACACGCAAACTAATATCTCAAAGTCCAAAAAATATAAAATATTGTAGGTGAACAAAACAGTAAACGGTGCTTCCAAATTATACTGTTAGTGACCACAAGTGAAAAAAATCGTGCAGGTTTCTGGGTGTATATAGATCTACGAATCCAACCACCTTCTGGATTAGCCTCTCACCTCATCCCTTCGACCCTTGCGGATCAAAGAGCAGTAGTGGATCCCTCTCACAGATCCTCCAGGCACCAAAGCACTCCAAGACAGCTTTCAAGATGTAATATTCCCACTATGGCTCTTCTCCAGGAAAAGTTGTAATATCAATCTCTCAGAATGAGACAAAGGAATCCTCCCATATACTATTTCTATTCAGATTGTCACAGAAACATAATAAATCCTCTTCTCTTCCTTTCCATAATACTATAATATCATCTATATATCTTTTAAACAATATTAATTCTTTCGGGGACTCAAATATACTGCCATCTCTTCCCAGTGTGCCATGAACATGTTTGCCACACTGGGAGCAAAACGAGCTCCCATGGCTACACCCTTGATTTGATTATAAAACACATTCATATGCCAAAAATAATTATGTTTTAAGCAAAAACTCTAAACAATCCAAAATATATTTTCTCTGCCCTCTTTTCAGATTTCCATATTCTCTTAAGCCCCATTCAGTAGCTTCCACACCTTCTGTGTGGCCAATAATTGTTGAGACGTCAGCTGTTGCCAAGATCACATCATTACCATCTACTTTATCTAACATTTGTATTAGGTGCTTGGTGTCTCTCAGATACGACTTAGTTTCTCTCACCAATGGTTGGAGAAACATAGATTTCAATGTCCATTATAAAAAAGTGGAAACTATTTTTAGAAGATATTGGCCACTATTGAAAGCTGATCCGGCCCTGAAAGAGATAATATCAGAATTCCCCACGTTTAGATATAGAAAAGCCCCAACACTAAGAGATAAAATTGTTAAAAATGTTCTTGATCCACCCACTAAAAAGAATGTCACTTTTTTTGGATATAAATGGGTTCTTTCCATGCAGGACATGTTATGCGTGCAAATCCACAAAAGGAAGGAATAAGAAATTGATGAATTTTACTTCATCTGCAAGTAAGAAAGAATTTAAGATTGAAGAATTTATTACTTGTAGGACAGAGGGAGTTGTGTACGCGCTGCAATGTAGTTGCGGAATGCAATATATAGGGAGAACCAAACGACCTCTTTGGGTCAGGCTCCGGGAACATGTGCAAAATATAAAGAAGGGGTTCCCGAAGCATAGCGTCTCTAAGCATTTCGCCAAATTTCATAATAAAGACCCTAGTGAATTAAAATTTTGGGGTATCACGAAATATAAGAGACATTGGCGAGGCAGCCATAAGGTGCGTACTTTGAGCCAATTAGAGTCAAAGTGGATTTATAGTATGCACACTTATTTCCCCAATGGTTTGAACATTGAGTTTGATTTAAATTGCTTTATTTCTGATTTTTGAGGTTTATTGAGATGGTGCTATAGATATATATATATATACAATAATTTTATACATTGATTATGTAAACTCATGCTTTTGGATAGAATATATGTGTGTGAGCTTTTTTGGAGTAGGTCTTTTATGAGCTGGTGAAGGGTTGGGACATTATTAATATTTTTAAATAAAAATTAAAAAAAAAAAAAAAAAAAAATTTTTTTTATATATAAAATGATAAAATATTAATTCTCATTAATAAATATTAATTTTTTAAATTATTTTACTGATTTTAAAACCTATATATAATAATTTTTTGATTAGACTGAGATTTGGATTGTATATATACGTATGCGTCCTTATGTGCAGGGGGTATATATATATATTTCCGTGTAATTGTATAAAATTAATTAGCTGTATTTTTTGTACATATAATTGGAGATTACATGCGATTATAGCGTGTAATTAGGTGAGAGATGGTCTATTTCATCCATTTTAATAATATTTTTATATTCTTATTCAATAAATAATATATTCTTTTGTTTTTTTTTTTAACATTAAATAAAATGGGATTTTGTTTAAGGTTATTTTGGGGTTTTTTTTTTTAAATATTAGGTATATTAATTGCAGTTGGTGCATCATTACACAGTCCTCGGACTTTTTCTGTGTAGATGCGCCTACTGCAGCCATTAGCATATATACTTTTTGCATAGTAGTCCCCAGTGGTCTTCAATGTAATGGCCGCAGGAAGTATTGATGAGATTAGGCTGAAGAAAACACCTCCCATGTGGGTGGTTCCCTCTATCTAGCTGGGTATATAAAGAGTGACCGTCACTGTGATTGACAGCCCTGATGAAGTCACATGACATTGTGACGTAACGCGTCGGCGTAGCGCGGTGACGTATTTCCGGCGTGGCGGCCATCTTGGTACACCTGTGCATTCAGCTGTACACCCAACAGATATATCCTCATCTGAAAGCATGAGGCTTTAGTGTGGACTGGCTGCTACGTAAGTTCTTATTTAAAATATGCTACATGTTCCTATGGTATAATAAATATACTACACTATGGGAGGATTCCTTTGTCTCATTCTGAGAGATTGATATTACAACTTTTCCTGGAGAAGAGCCATAGTGGGAATATTACATCTTGAAAGCTGTCTTGGAGTGCTTTGGTGCCTGGAGGATCTGTGAGAGGGATCCACTACTGCTCTTTGATCCGCAAGGGTCGAAGGGATGAGGTGAGAGGCTAATCCAGAAGGTGGTTGGATTCGTAGATCTATATACACCCAGAAACCTGCACGATTTTTTTCACTTGTGGTCACTAACAGTATAATTTGGAAGCACCGTTTACTGTTTTGTTCACCTACAATATTTTATATTTTTTGGACTTTGAGATATTAGTTTGCGTGTACCATTATTATGGTTATTTTTTCACTTCACAATAGGCACGTGTGATTTAATTATATGTATGGGTATATTTTTTGTTCATGCACATACATATAGATATAGTTTTTTGTGTGTTTCTACATCTTTTGAGTGATTTATTTGATTTTTGTTATTATCAGCAAGCACGTATATATTTGCATTGTCAATATTGTTAATATTGTCACACTTTTTGATTTGATATTTTGGGATCCCACATTCACAATTTGTTTGATTTGAATGTAGCGCAGCAAGGTAGGGTTATAACCCCTATCAGATTTTTTTTTTCACCATCTGTGTCCCATTGTGGAGCTTTCCCTTCACTTCCTGTCCCATAGCCAAACAGGAAGTGAGAGGAAATCCCTACAAATTAAAGAAATTCCTTGAAGACGCCCAGGTCACCAGAACTAATGGCCCCATTAGAAGTTTCCCCTCTATTATTTTTCTGAGGACAACCCAAAATTTGTGATTTTTTGTTACTTTTTTACTTTCAATGATAATGGTAAACAAGACAAACAAACAGAGTGAATTTCCTTAACAGGGCCACAGACAGCAATAAAAACTGACAAGGGTTCTAATCTATCCAAAACTAAAAAAACAGTTTTGCCATTTAGTTATACTGTAACCGCCTCCCGCCCGTCATATGACATCCCCCACTCGGTATTCCTCAGAGGGGACATGTACACTGATCATCAGGGCACTGATGATCAGTGTAGCCCCATCAGTACCACCTGTCAGTGTCCATCAATGCCACATGCCAGTACCCATCAGTGCCACATCATTGCCACATATCATTGCCTACCAGTGCACATCAATGCCACATATCAGTGCCCATCTGAGCTGCCTTTCAGTGCCACTTATCAGTGCCTGTCAGTGATGCCTGTCAGTGCCAGTCAGTGCCGCCTATCAATGCCATATATGAGTGCTGCCTTTCAGTGCCCATCAGTGCCACCTACCAGTGCCTCCTCATCAGTGCCACCTATTACTGCCCATCACTGCAGCCTCATTCGTGCACATCAGTGAAGGAGAAAAATCACTTATTTACAAAATTTTATAACAGAAACTAAGTAAAAACTTTTTCTTTTCAAATTTTCAGTTGTTTTTGGTTTCTTTAGCAAAAAAATAAAACACTCAGAGGGTGATTAAATACCACCAAAAGAAAGCTCTGTCTAAAAAAATGATAAAAATTTCACGAGTACAATGTTGCATGACCATGCAATTGTCATTCAAAGTGTGACAGCGCTGAAAGCTGAAAATTGGCCTGGGCAGGAAGGGGGTAAAAGTGCCCTGTAGACAGGTGGTTGAGTAGGACAATCTCTAAGAATACACAAACACAGCAATGACAATAAATGTAGGTGGTTGACAGGATAAGGAAAGGAGTGGGCTGTGGAATGGATGGGGGGAGTCAGAATCACAGATATGAGAATGGTTGTACAATATCTTGGATAGTGGTTTAGAAAACTTAGCTCCATATTTAGTCCATCATCTCTGTGTCAAATAGAATTATCACTTGCATACTCAGTGTAATGGGGTATTTCCGTTAGACTCCAGCTCCCCTGTCCGAACACAGATCCATGGACACCACCCTTGAAATCACTCAGGAAATAGACTGCTTTATTTTAACACAAAGAAAGGAAAAGAAAACATTTGAACTACAAATGATAATTCTAATCAAACCTTAGAAAACCTAACATTCCTAAAGCTTAACAGACTTGCCTCTTACCTAGAGCAGCCATAGCAGTCTTTGGTCTCTGTGTAATCTTGTCTGTAGGTCTGGATGGCTTCAAACTGCTACCTAGCTTGGAGGATATGAGCAGACATGCTGTCAAGTGGTCACATTTTTCTTTTTTCGGCCAATGACTTGCTTTTATCTCTCAGATAGTTCAGTTGTTCCACAAACTGGGGCTTTAAGACATCACCATTAAGCTGCAGATAAAAATATGAGATGAAACAGTTGAGTTGACCAATATAAGACCTATGCTTTGAACTACTGCCAACTTCAGTAACCCCCCCCCCCCCCGAAAAAAAAAACACTCTGGCCTGCACTCAGTATATGTGTCAGTACTGTATAAATATTCATTATTTACTGACTATAAAATGACAAGTCTGTTGTAAGTAGTAGAGCCAAGGATTGTCCAATGATGTCATTATGCCAAGCATGGTCATTCGCCATAGAAAGGCAGTAGGGAGCTACTTCTGTGTTAATGCTCATACATCCTAGATTGTAAACTCGAAAGAGCAGGGCCCTCAATCCCCTCATGTTTTGCATTGTATTGGTATTGTTCTGTCACATGTTCTGTCCCCTTCTGTAATGTACAGCGCTGAGCGAATTATTGGCGCTTTATAAATACTGTATAATAATAATACATCCAGGTGAAGGATGACAAATGTTTTGTTACCTTGCTTCAAAATCACATCAGGTGAATCAGAATTCTTTGATGGCCCGTTGCAGCCTGAACATTGCACGTCTTGTTGTGATGCTACAAAAACCATGCTTAGCAAACACACAGTTATGTGTACAAAGCCATTCACCTAAGTACCATCTTTTAATCCCATTGTTTGGGGGGAGGGGGTGCTTTGTGAGAGAGAGAGAAATGCTCACCAAGTGCCATCTTTTTAATGCATGTATGTATGAGCTTTCACTAGGCACAAAGGCTCAAAGGCACAGTCTAGTCTTTGGAGGCCCTTTCATTAGCATGCTGTTCAGGAAGACCTCTATTCCCAATACGCCTCAAAAACCTCTTTGTAAGTCACAAAGCTAGCTTATCGCTACAAATATGTCTGATTATGGATACAGCTGTCACAATGTGAAATTTAGGAAGGAAAGAGAGAGAGAGAGAGATATGACAGAAGACAGAGAGAAAGAAAAGGAAAGAAGAGATGAGAAGAAAGAGATGACAAAGATAGGTGAGAGACAGGAGAATAGAGAAGACAAGACGAGAAAAAAACGAGACATAACAAGGCAGATTGAAGGGAACAAATCAGTGATCCAATGCTGGGCACATACATGTCAAACATTCTTTTCGAATCCTTTATTTATACTGGCCATGCAACACAATTGCATTAATAATAAGGCCTCACACACACAGGGCGTTTTTGCAGACGCTTTTAACGGCGTCAGGCATTTTTTTTTTACTGGAAAGAAGAATAAAGCAACCAAATGCATGTACTCCTGCGCTGGGCAGTGGACTCCACAATGTCAATATCCCCAATATCACATAAGAAAGGAATGCAAGCCTTGCTGCCCTCAACAGACAAGGGAAATCCTAAGGAACTGTATATAGGAAACAAAAAGAGGGCACACGGGCCTAGTGCATTACCAGACTGGCTCTGAGGAAGAGGTACAACCTCGAAACGCGTCAGCCACCAGCTATGCAGAGGTCTACAGTCCCCCACCAGACCACCTTCAGGGGTTTTTTTGGACCACATTGCTTCCTTTGTGACATGCTTTCCATTTGATTTTATTTCTCTTGTGAGTATTTTACTATTTATAAATAAATCTAATTTTTAAAAGGTAATGCATTAGGCCCATGCACCCTCTTTTTGTTTCTTACATACCATTTTTTTTACTGTAAAGACCCCACCATGTTATCCTGTGTCCACAGAAGCTTTTAGTGGCAGGGAGATTTACAGGCAAGAAAAAAAACCCAGGGTCAGTGTGTCCAAGAGCAGCAGCGTTTTCGCAGCAAAAACGCTTGACCCATGTAAATGTGTGTAAATACATCTAAGCGCACCTAAACAGCACTTGAGCATTAATTCATTTCAATAGCCAGAATCAGTTATTCATCTGGCAAATGAAATGAATTAATGCCGAAGTGCCTGTAAACATACCTAGACGCTTTTAAAAGACATTGAAAACCTTGCCAGGTGTTTTTTTCTGCCAAAGTTCTGTTACCTAGAAGAGGACTGTTTACAAACATCATGTATGCAGGACGCCTAAAACATTTACAGGTTCTTGAACCCTTGAACTAACTTTCTGGTCTCAGGGAACCCCTGCTAAAAATTACTATATCTGCAACTCATGATACATGACAGCCAGTGGGAAGAATGCTCTTGCACTTGTGTTCATTGGGAAGAATTACGTCCTTATAGATAACTAAAAAAATCAATGGTGTCAGTGGAAAATCTGATTTAATTTGTTTTAATTCTGTTTTTTGATTTTTAAAATATCAACAAATAGTTGATCATTGCTGTCAAATCTTTTACTTTTGTTTAGAAACAATTAGAAAGATTGCCAAGAGCTTCAAAATACCAAACATTAAAACATTATACCTGTAAAGCAAAAGGATGTAAAGCTGAACTCTAGACAGACATGAAAGACACTAATAAATGCACTATAACATAGGTAAATACACACTATATTGCCAAAAGTCACTGGATTCAGGTGTTCCAATCACCTCCATGGTCACAGGTGTATAAAAATCAAGCACCTAGGCATGCAGACTGCTTCTACAAACATTTGTGAAAGAATAGGTCGCTCTCAGGAGCTCAGAGAATTCAAGCGTGATACCACGATAGGTTGTCACCTGTGCAATAAGACCATCCATGAAATTTCCTTGCTACTAAATATTCCATGGGCAACTGTTAGTGGTATTCAGGGGCAGACTGACCATTTAAAAACTCGGGCACTGCCCGAGGGCCCAGGGTCAGTAGGGGGCCCCATGAGATGCCCCTGGTACCTTTTTCATAGGCTTTTTTGAGTTTGGGCAAGGACACAGGGGCCCCATGATCCCCTATTGCCTGGGGGCCCCATGAGTTGTCAGTCCACCCCTGGTGGTATTATAACAAAGTGGAAGCAACTGGGAACAACAGCAACTCAGCCACAAAGTGGTAGGCCACGTAAAATGACAGAGCAAGGTCAGCGCATGCTGAAGCACACAGTGTGCAGAGGTGGTCAACTGTCTTCATAGTCAATAGCTAAAGACCTCCAAACTTTGTGTGGCCTTCAGATTAGCACAAAAGTGCTTCATGGAATGGGTTTCCATGGCTGAGCAGCTGCATCCAAGCCTTACATCACCAAGTGCAATGAAAAGCGGCAGATGCAGTGGTGTAAAGCATGCCGCCACTGTACTATAGAGCAGTGGAGACGTATTCTCTGGAATGATGAATCACGCTCCTCTGTCTGGCAATCCGATGGACATGTCTGGGTTTGGCGGTGGCCAGGAAGATGATACTTGCCTGACTGCATTGTGTAAAGTGTGGTGGAGGGGAGATTATAGTGTGGGGGTTGTTGTTTTTCAGGGGTTGGGCTTGGCCCCCTAGTTCCAGTGACGGGAACTCTTAAGGCATCAGCATACCAAGACATTTTGGCCAATTTCATGCTCCCAATTTTGAGGGAACAGTTTGGGGATGGCCCCTTCCTGTACCAACATGACTGCACACCAGTGCACAAAGCAAGGTCCATAAAGACATGGATGAGCAAGAGTTTGGGGTGGAGGAACTTGACTGACCTGCACAGAGTCCTGATCTCAACCCGACAGAACACCTTTGGGATGAATTAGAGTGGAGACTGCAAGCCAGGCCTTCTCGTCCGACATCAGTGCCTGAGCTCACAAATGCGCATCTGGAAGAATGGTCAAACATTCCCATAGACACACTCCTAAACCTTGTGGACAGCCTTCCCAGAAGAGTTGAAGCTGTTATATCTGCAAAGGGTGGGCCAACTCAATATTGAACCCTACGGACTAAAACTGGGATGCCATTAAAGTTCATGTGCGTGTAAAGGCAGGCCAACCAATGCTTTTGGCAATATAATGTATATAAATGCAGACTGTGATGCCTGAATTGGACTATCAATAAAGTTGTGTGTTATTTTATGTTTTAGTGGGCTACTTTAAAGCCAATTGTAAAGCCCTCCATACAAAGGTTGATTTTAGATTTGTGATGCACTCTGGTGTGTTTTAGATGCGTTCCAGTGCATTTTTTCACTTTTGTTCTTGAACTCAGTTGAGGACATGTGCATTCTGCTGCATTGTTGATGCGTTTTTGCGGCATTCCAGAGATGTTCCATACAGAAAAAATGCAGCACGTTCAACTTTTGCTGACTACACTGGAACGCACTGCTCTGGTGTAAACTACAGCCATTGGAATGCATGGAAATCATTGTGCATGCGTTTCTGATGGAGAAAAAAAACACACTGGACTGTACCTGGTGTGAACCAGCCATTAATGAAGCACATGACTGGACGGCAACTGTACTGATACTGTATCTTTACATTCGTCCTGAAAGACTCACTGAGGTCAACAACCATTGTAGTAGTCAGCGCTACTACAGTGAGTGCTGCGATCTTCTGGGACCTGTGCCAAGCAACTGCCCTACTGAAAAATGACCTGTACAGGGAGCTCCCACCTGAGTGCTGATCATGTTGGGTGTTGGGGCCCCGGGCCCTCTGCTCTCTCAGCTCCGCTCCGGCTCCTGTCTGAGACACTCCAAAACTTCCAGCGCTGACGCTCCGGTTGCCGGGAAACAGACCCCATGTGCTCCGGGGCGGGGCTTCTTCGTGTTCAGAGATGGAGCAGTCATGTGATCTGAACGGAGAAGTCTTCCCCCGCCTGTGATGATCATTGTGCTGGGATGGATGGATGGATGGGGGGGAGGACGGCCGAGTGATGGGAAGGGTATTGCTGACTGCATTCTATGGGTTCATCACAGCACACCCTCCGCTCTGCACTGCGTACTAATGATCGCTATACAGACCCAACTACAATTCATGGGGGTCCACATCACCCACCAGCCCTCCCCCATATCCATTACAAGTCTTCTATCACTGATCACATAGTCATATCGCCTACTAAACTGCGGCCTTAGAGGCAACATCACCCGAATAGAGGTTTCCTCTACATT